CTCTATTTATCTTTCCGTCTCTCCCGCACTGTCTTCGCCGCTCTTTATCTATTTACGTCTCTGAGTATGTCTCTATCCCTCTCTCTCGTTTTGCCAATGCAATGTAATGAAGAATTTTTTTTTATTTCTTTAGTAAATGGTTTTTATTTATAAATTATTAATTTTATTCTATCAGAACTTATGCGCTTAGGCGTATTTTTACTTAATAATATTTTTGGATGTATATTTTTGTACATGTTAATGTACGTTTTTTTTATAAAACTTCTATGGAGTTCTCCTTAAACTCTTCCTTAATGAGTATAAAATGTTATTCTTCCACGGCAGCGACAACATTTGCTGCTTGCTGACCTACTTCTAGACCTTTCACGGTGGCATCTCGGGTACTTTGTCCAACACATTTCTAATTTAATTGAAATTTAATTGTTTCACGTTTAAAATTTGCATATAAAAATTTAAAAATATTTCACTTACAATTATTTTGCAGATTTTCGTGAATAACTCAGCTTCGCTTTGACTGAGGGAAAGGACGATTATTAAGGCAATAAATAAGAAAATTTTATAAAAATTCATTTTGAAATTGCTCTACTTTGGTATGCTTTGTGGATACAACTGATAGTTAGATTACTGCTGTTGTGCTTTATATACAATGGAAACCTTTTCAAGCTACTAAAATGTGATGTTTGTAGAAAAACATAGGCCTCCTTATCAATTTTTTTATTTTTTATTATTATTGCCGAGATTTATAAAATCCATTTGAAAAAGTAAATCATCCGTCGAAATCAGTTATGAATGTACATGTATGGGTAAATGTAGAGATATGTAGAAAGCGTCTTTTTTTTATTTTAAACAATAATGTGAGAATCACATCTGATTTCTGTCTACTTACAGGATCACATATACGACAATGGACGATATTGCCCATAAAACCCGCTCGCGAGATAAGATATTCTTTTGAATACTTTGCAAGTAACATTCATTCTTCTTTTGTTTGAGCCGGGAATATGATTGCAAGACTTAAGTCATATTGGGTTGAAAAGTAAGAGAGATAAAAAATGTCGTAAAGGTACTTTTGGTCAGTCCGTCATATCAATGAGCATTTTCGATTCATGTGAAGATGTGTAGAGAGAGGGAAGCGGTGTAATTAATATAAGCAAACTAAAAACATCACATTTATTAACACAGCATATGCTGATATGATCAAAGGATATGAACGATATATATATAATTGTAGATGAATACAACTAGGAGACGTCACA